TAAAATTATCTCTATTCACAGATGACAGGATCTTATATCTAAAAACCCTAGAGAGTCCACACACACGAACTGTCGGAGCTAAGAAATAAACTTAGCAAAGTGGCAAGATGCAAAACCAACACACAAAAATCAGTTGCATTTCTATAGATCAGCAATGAACAATCCAGAAGAGTAATTAGGAAAGTAATTCCATTTACAGTAGCATTAAACAGAATAAAATACTTAGGAATGAATTTTACTAAGGAGGCAAAAGACTTGTATACTGGAAACTACAACATACTGCTGAAAGAAATTAAAGACTCACATACATGGAAAGACACCTTGCGTTCATGGAATTAGAAGGCTTACTATTGTTAAGGTGGCCACAATACCCAAAGAAATCTACAGATTCAATGTAACCAAATCAAAATCACAAAGGTGACAAAGTTTTGAAAGACGGGTGACAGTTGCCAAATATTGTGAACGCACTAAATGCCACTTAATTGTACGTTTGTTTTTTTTTTTAAGATTTTATTTATTTATTTGACAGAGAGAGATCACAAGTAGATGGAGAGGCAGGCAGAGAGAGAGAGAGAGAGAGAGAGAGAAGCAGGCTCCCTGCAGAGCAGAGAGCCCGATGCAGGACTCGATCCCAGGACTCTGAGATCATGACCTGAGCCGAAGGCAGCGGCTTAACCTACTGAGCCACCCAGGCGCCCCTAATTGTACGTTTTTAAAAGTGGCTATTCATGCCTTGTCTGGACAATATCCAGTTTGCTTCTCTTTTCTTTTTCCCCATTTTATTTTGAAAGTTTTCAAATGTAAAGCTGAAGGAATGTCACAGTGACTACCCCCATACGCACCACCTCGTTCTAGCGTTAACATTTTACTGTACTTACTTTATTGCATTAACTATCCACCTCTCTTCCAGTCCACTTTATTTTTTTGGATGCAATTCAAAGAAATTGTCAACATCAGTACACGTTACCCTGAACATTTCAACATGCACATCATTAACTAGAGCTCAGTATTTGCTTTATGGTTTTTTTTTTTTTTTAGTTAAACTGACATAGAGGGGCGCCTGGGTGCCTCAGTTGGTTAAGCATCTGTCTTTGGCTCAGGTCATGATCCCAGGGGTCCTGGAATCAAGTTCTGGTTCAGGCTTTGTGCTCAGCTGTGAGTCTGCTTCTCCCTCTGCCTCTGAGTCCTCTCGTGCTCTTTCTTTCAAGTAAATAAATAAAATCTTAAAAAAAAAAAAAACTGCCATAGAATAAAAAGCAAACAAATTTCAAGTGTGTATCTGCTGAGTGTTGACAATGCTTACACCCAGAACCTTGATCAAGATATAGAACATTACCATCATCCTACAAAGTTCCCTTCCTGAGGTTAAACCCATCTGCATCCTGCCAGAGTAGTCCTACAGTGTGTATTCTCCTGTCCACGGCTTCTTTCATTCAGCATAATCTCTTTGAGTAATGCTTTTTGCAGATCTTCAGTTCTTGAATTCAGAGCTGGGAGAATGCTCCCACACCCAATACAGTGCTTGACAAAGCTCAGAAACAGCTCCTCAGTAATGTTACCTGGATTAGTTTCCAATTGCTACTATAAGAAATTACCAAACCAGGTACTTTAAAATAACACAAACTTACTATCTTACAATTCTGTAGGTCAAAAGTCTGAAAATAGGTCTTACAGGACTAAAATCAAGGTGTTAGCAAGGCTGCATTTGGCCATCTCTAGAGGAGAATCCTTTCCTTGCCTTTTTCAGCCTCTAGAGGCTCCCCAAAGCCCTTGGTTTGGTCCCCTTTCCAGAAATCCATCACTCCCACCTGTTTTGTTGTCACACCTTCTTCGGCTTTGATCTTCCTGCCTCCTCCCTTCTTTTGTTTATATAAATTAACTCAATGGAAAAAGTTCCTTCAGTCATCTGATGGCAGACTTCACTGTCACAACAGAAGTGGGCTTGTAGGTCCAGAAACTACCATTTTCATGCAGGAACCACAACGCCAGATGATCATGGTTCATGTTTTCATCTTTGGTCTGCCACAGAAGGAGCGAAAGTGTACTTGGAGTGCTGGCTTCTTTCAATTTTTTTTTTTTTAAGATTTTATTTATTTGAGAGAGTAAATGAGAGAGAGAAAAGAGAGAGAGCATGAGTGGGGGAAGCAGCAGAGGGAAAGGGAGAAGCAGACTTCCCGTGGAGCAGGGAGCCTGATGTGGGGCTCGATCCCAGGACTCTGGGACCATGACCTGAGCTGAAGGCAGATGCTTAACCAATTGAGTTACCCAAGAGCCCTTTATTTCGATTTTCTTCATCATTTTCTTGAGGGAGGCATCCTAATGGGTCCTGCATTTAATGACAGTTCTGACCTTCTTGGTACATTTTAGCCATGTTGCTGCAAAACAGCTCCAAGCCTAGAAGAGCCTCCTGTCTCCCTTTTATAAGGATCATTGTGATTACATTAGATCCACTGGGACAATTCAAGATAGTCTTCTCATCTGAAAATCTTTAGCTTGATCATATCTGCAAAGTTCTGTTTGCCAATATAACAGATTCACAGGTTTCAGGGATTAGAACATGGACATCTTTGGTGTCCCTTACTCGGTTTGCCCGGCCACCTGAATAAATAAAAGACCTTAAGCCATGCTTCTCAAAACGGAGCAGCTTGAAGATACAAAATAAATATCATATATCTTCTGGATATGTCAATGCTTCTTGTGTATCTGGGAGAAAATCTTTTTTTTTTTTTTTTTAAGATTTTATTTATTTATTTATTTGACAGAGATCACAAGTAGGCAGAGAGGCAGGCAGACAGAGAGGAAGGGACGCAGGCTCCCTGCTGAGCAGGAAGCCCGATGCGGGGCTCGATCCCAGGACTCTGGGATCATGACCCGAGCCGAAGACAGAGGCTTTAACCCACTGAGCCACCCAGGCGCCCTGGGAGAAAATCTTAATTAATAAATGGCTCAAAACACTAGCCTTCCCTTAGAATCAGCAATTCTGCTTCTAGAATTTTATTGTACAGACATGCTCATATATGTGCCTAAAGAAATATATCTAAGGATGTGACTTACGTATTTTATGGGAGTAAGATGGGAAACCAACTAATAGCTCATCAATGGAAAATGAACGAAATAAACTGTTTTCATCCATACAGTGGAACACTAGGATGCAGCCATTAAAAAAAGCGATCTATATGTGCTGAAATTAAACAATCTACAAGATGTATCAAGTGAGAAAAGAAAGCAAAGTGAACAGTGTGTTTATTATGCTACTTACAAAAAGAAAAAAGGTGTAAGTTTTTAAAAAGTGTATGTTTTTACGTACCTAAATTATCTCCAGAAGGACACAAGAAGCTGGTAACAGAGGTTGCCTCTAAGAAGGGGAAGGAAGACTAGAGGGAGGAGACTTTTTTTAAAGATTTTATTTACTTATTTGACAGACAGAGATCACAGGTAGGCAGAGGCAGGCAGAGAGAGAGAGAGGGAGGCAGGCTCCCTGCTGAGCAGAGAGCCCAATTCGGGGCTCCATCCCAGGACCCTGGGATCATGACCTGAGCTGAAGGCTGAGGCTTTAACCCACAGAACCACCCAGGCGCCCCAACTTTTTGTTTTTTTAATTGAAGCATAACACAAATACCTAAGTGTGCAGGTCAATTCTCACAAATAGAACACATCTGTGTAACCAGCGCCTAGATCAAGAAACAGAATACTGAAGAAGATGTGGTATATATACACAATGGAATACCATGCAGCCATCAAAAGAAATGAAATCTTGCCATTTGCGACGATGTGGATGGAACTAGAGGGTATCATCCTTAGCGAAGTAAGTCAATCGGAGAAAGAGAATTATCATATGATCTCCCTGATATGAGGGAGAGGAGATGCAACATGGGGGGTTAAGGGGGTAGGAGAAGAGTAAATGAAACAAGATGGGATTGGGAGGGAGACAAACCATAAGTGACTCTTAATCTCACAAAACAAACTGTGGGTTGATGGGGGGAGGGGGGTTGGGGGGG